CCCCCATCCCACGCCTCTGCTCTTAAAGTTTTAAGAAAATATATAACAGTCCGGAGTGGAGCCAACCCCACTCACCACGCACTTCTCCCAAGCTTCATAAATATAACCATCAAAGTTAAGTGAAAAACAGCTGAGATGGTGGTGGTGAAGGGGAATGTCTCTAAACACATTAGAATTGCTCGGCCTAGGCCACCAAGTGGGGAGTGACAGTTACACTTCGCAAGTGGAGTCCGTGTTAGTTAGCTTCGGCATAGACCAGGGTGGATGGACCTGAGAGGAACGTACGTTTTAGGCTTCGCAGACTGCACCAGTCCTGACTCAGCTGTTCACCAGGCTGCATGCTGCTAGGCAGGCATTGACCGTCCTTGTTTGTCCTGAGGACATGGTTTCATTAATAAAGTTTCATTCCAAGCACCCGGAAGACCATATCTGACCCACCACTGTAGTTTGTCAGCCTTGGTCGGAAGCAAGTACAATTGTAGTAAGATCAGCGTGCTGGTTCACCTCAGACAGAAGGGTTGCATAGCTTGTTTAAAGAATTAAATAAATCCCTTCTCTTTAAAAAAAAAAAAAGAAGAAGAAGAAGAAGTATTAGTCATACAGATGTGTTTTGTGGTGACATTTCCATGCAGGCAGGTATGGCGTGTCAGGCCTGTGCACCTCTCTTCCGTCTCGTCTCTCCCTGAACCTCCAGCCCCTTCCCAGCCCCCAGTGATCCCTCTAATTTGTTTTCCCTCGTATTTTTTCTTTAATTCATTTTATTTTTTACATAAAAAGTTCAATAAAAGCTGGGTAAAGATTTTTGCAGTAAATCAATCTTACCAGCAGCACAGGGCTGAACACCAGGCAGCTTGCTCTAGAATATTTACATGATAACAAATTAAACCTTGCAGGAAAACTTATACCATCCTTACAAAATCTTTCTGTGATCCTAGCACATAGAGACTAAAAGCAAAACAAAAACCAGGGGGGGAAAAACAAATTATTTTCAATATACTCACATAGACATTAAAATATAATACAAAAAAAAAAAAACAAAAAAAAATATAATACAAATTGTAGGGGAAAGGGTCTCTAGTGGTAACACACACAGCACAGACCAAGGAGGGGACCCAGGTTTGAAAGTGGGGTCAGGTCAGGTCTGGCCAGGGTCTCCCCTGGCCATTGCATCTGATGGCCTCTAACGACACCCTGACAGTTCAAAACTAGAGGTCACTTATAGATGAGCTCATTTGGGGGCTTTCGGTTGACATCTGCAGGTTTGAGTCCCCAGGGTGGTAGGTCATCAGTAGCACAGCCAGCGGTGGGTGGGGCCGGGGCAGAGGCCCACGGAATTTCTTTTCCCAGAGTCTGGCCTGTCTGATCCCCCACCCTCCCACCCAGGACCCCAAGTCGTCTCCCCCCCCCCCAAGTTTCTGTTAAGAAGAAAACACTCATGTTTTGAATCTGACTTATTTTACTCATCATTTATCTTTTAGTGTATCTAGGTTTTTGGCTTTGAATTCATGAGCATGGCACCATATAGCTTATTTAGCTGGGTCACATACTAAGCATGGTGGCGAGGCGATGGAGTTTGCAGACCTAAGATTTTCCTGTGCTAAGGGACTCAGTGTACCCTTTTTTAAAAGACTTCTAGTGAAATTCAGTCTCACTGACTCTTGTCCTTTTTTCTGTCTCTGAATGGGAGGGTCTGTGTATAAGTAGACCTCTTAAAAATACCGTTCCAGCCACCCTTCAGGGTGTATTCAGCGGCATTAGATATCTCCATAGTGCTGTGCAGCCATTGTCCATTTACAGAACTTTTCATCATTCTAAAACTCTGTACCTCGATATTAATTCCTTATTCTTCTCTTTTCTTGGCTTTTTCCCTGTTCTTTCTAGTTTCTGCCTGTTATCTTGACTACTCTCAAGGCTTGTGTCTGGCTAATTTTTTCTTTCAGTTTTTATTTTTTTATTAGTATGTGTTTGCAGTGCAGAGTGATTATGTTCTTCATAGGGGGTGGGACAGGTTCGTGACACCTCTCAATGCGTTTTATGTCCCCATCCCTCCCTCCCCTCCTGTCTTGGTCCCCTCTCATCCACAAAGATATAGATCCCTATTTCCTGTTATCTGTTTTTATGCTACTTTTTATTTACATTCTGGGTTTCTCATATAAGAGAAACCACATAGTATTGAAGCCTGTGTGTCTGATTTATTGCAATCTCAAGGTGTGTCCTTTTTTTGAGTCAGTGTCTTGCTGTGTAATTCAGCCTGGTCTTGAGCCGCAGTGTAGTACTCTATTGTATGTAGAGGCTGTAGACTATGAGATTTTCTTATGTAAATACCACATTTTCTTTAGCCAGTCATCTGTGGATGGCCATATAAGCCACTACCAAGATTTAGCCTTATTTCATGAGCACAGTGTTCTCAAGACTCTTCCATGGCATATCAGAATTTCATTCAAGGCTGGCTAATTTCTATATAAATTCCAGGTTTTGTTCATCGCTCATCCATTGGTGGCCATTTCAGTTGTGTCCACCTTTTGACTCTGGTGAACAATGTTACTGGAACATTGGTGTCCAGTATCTAAGCGCCCACTTTCAGTTCTCTTGGGTACACACATCCAGACGTGGAATTGCTGGACAGTGTGTTAATTCCGTGTTTCATTTTTGAGGAACCACAATCTTGTTTCCCGCGGTAGCTGTATTCATTCACTTTCGCACAGTTCCTCCACCGTGTGTGAGAGCTCCAACCTCTCCACTCCTCACCAACGCTTATTTTCTCTTTTTCCCCTTATTAAGAATAGACATCCTAGTAAGTGTGAAGGCATATCTCATTATGGTTCTTACATGTTTGTATGCAATATTTGTAGCTAATTTAAAAGCAGCAGTTAATTTGAATATTACATAATCAATGGATGGTACAAATTACACACACACACACCATTCATTCTTCCCTAGCTTCAGAATTTTTAATGTGACAGAATTCTAAGAATATGTCAAGAAGATAAATAATATAGAGCTCAAATTCAGGACACTAGAAACATAAAGAAAGCTGGAGCCAAGAAAAAGAAGACTACAGCCCCAAGTAGATGAACATGGAAGTGTGTTGATGTCTCCTACATCTGTAAAACATGAAGGAACCAATCCGGATCTTTCCAGTGATCACAGGAAAAAAGGAAGGAGTCAGCAATACAGTTTGTTTATTCCAGACCATGAGGCACGGGGGAAAAGATTTTGTTAGCTCATAGATATAAGAAATAAGCTGTGTTTCCAGTTTTTGAGATAGTTATGCTATTGACACCAACAAATAGCAAATTAAAAGCAAACACAATTTCTGATTAAATTATTGGTGTTGGGATTGGAAATGTCTCCACAACTTGACCATTTCTAGGCTTTCTAGATAAAAATCCCAGTCTCACAGTATAGGTAGGAGAATAAAATGTGAATTCCCTGTATTTAAACAGAACACTAGCCGGCATAGCAGTGTATCCTGGCAATCTTAGCAGTCTGGGAGGCTGGAGCAGGAAGGCTGAAAGTTCAAGCTCACTCTAGACAATTTAGTGAATTAGCAAAACCCTGCCTCAAAGACCAAAAATAAAGGGTAGGGATGTAGCTCAGTGAGAAAGCCCTGGGTTCAGTCTCCAGTACTGCAAAATAACATCGATGATAATAAACAACACAAAGTTTGGACATCAGTTAATGTTTTCTATAGTACAAAGGAAACATCTTGACTTGGGATCAAACATGTTTATGTGTTGGGCATTTTCTTCCTAGGTCACAGATTCTATGTATATGTGGAATTTTTTTTATAAATAGTCTTAAAAATACATGCTCATCCTCCATTTGAAAGAAAGACCTCCTCCCAAAGTGCTAGGACTACGGGCCTGTGCCATCATGCCCAACTGAACTTCATTTTTTAAAAAGCCAATTGGAGCTTTTCATTATAAAAGCATCACAATTCAGCTCTTGGTGATAATCTATTTGTGTTTTTATTTTTTGCAGTCCTAGGGCTGCATACACAGTAGGCAGGCACTGTACACTGAGCCATTCTGATCTCCTGATGACAACCTTAGGGTATAATTTAGAACCATTTCCATGGAACTCTTGTACTATCAGAGTCAAAGTGGGCACACTTCAGGTCAGCACTGCCACCTGTGGCTGCTTAATTTTATTTGAAATAAAATTGAAGTTCAGTTTCTTCGCCACATTAGCCCCACAGGAAGTCTCAGTGGTGATAGCTGGCGACAGCTCTGCCATCATTGCAGTAAATTCTATTTCCCCATGCCGTTCTGCAGGAAGAATACAGAATCTGGAGCCAGAAGGCTTAGAATCAAGTCCTCCTGCCAGCTGGCCCTGGCTGTGTGGAACGGGCAGTTTACTTAAGCAGGCTGGGTCTGCTTCTCCATGGGCAGATTTGAGACCCTGTCCCTTCATAGGCAGAGGTTAGGAAGATGCACTAAGAGCAGATTGGTGGCAGGTGACAGTTCTTTGAATACTTTAGGGTGCTTTACCAGAGAGACACTGCTTCACAGGTCCCCGGCCTGATGTTCAGGTAACTCTGTGTGGACTAACTTGAGTCCAAATCCAGGAAGGCTCACGCCTCAATGAGCCTGACATCCATGGCAACATGGACCTCGGGTTCCTACTTGTCAAGGGCATCAAGTCCACAGCTCTGCACGTCATTTACACAATAACATCTCCTCCAAGTTTTCTTTAAGAATTGCATTGCTCTATGTCCATTCCTACAGTGCAAAAGCTAGAAACGTAAAAACTGCTGCATATACCAAAGAGACAAATCGGGTTCTTAAGATGTTCAAAAAAATAGACCTGAGTAGACAGAGCAGGAAGTCAGCATAAGACAGTTGGCTGTAGGGCTTTAAGGGTCTCACCAACAAGGACAGCGGGTTCTCCAAGCCTCGTAGCTGTTGGAGGGCTGAGGAAATGGAAGTACTTGGGCATTTTTGCTGTTTCCCCCTCTGAGTCACTTCTGGTTTTTGTTTGCCTCCTCTTTCCCCCAGGTGTCCTCAGCCGTGGATGCCTTTGACATTATGACCGCAGAGGATTCCACCGCAGCCATGAACAGCGACCCGGCCAGCGCGTCCTCGGCCAAGGTGCCCGAGGGCGTGGCGGGCGCGCCCAACGAGGCGGCCCTGGTGGCTCTGATGGAGCGCACGGGCTACAGCATGGTGCAGGAGAACGGGCAGCGCAAGTACGGCGGGCCGCCCCCGGGCTGGGAGGGCCCGCACCCCCAGCGCGGCTGCGAGGTCTTCGTGGGCAAGATCCCGCGCGACGTGTACGAGGACGAGCTGGTGCCCGTGTTCGAGGCCGTGGGCCGCATCTACGAGCTGCGCCTCATGATGGACTTCGACGGCAAGAACCGCGGCTACGCCTTCGTCATGTACTGCCACAAGCACGAAGCCAAGCGCGCCGTGCGCGAGCTCAACAACTACGAGATCCGGCCGGGCCGGCTGCTGGGCGTGTGCTGCAGCGTGGACAACTGCCGCCTCTTCATCGGCGGCATCCCCAAGATGAAGAAGCGCGAGGAGATCCTGGAGGAGATCGCCAAGGTCACCGAGGGCGTGCTGGACGTCATCGTGTACGCCAGCGCGGCCGACAAGATGAAGAACCGCGGCTTCGCCTTCGTGGAGTACGAGAGCCACCGCGCAGCAGCCATGGCGCGCCGCAAGCTCATGCCCGGCCGCATCCAGCTGTGGGGCCACCAGATCGCCGTGGACTGGGCCGAGCCCGAGATCGACGTGGACGAGGACGTGATGGAGACCGTGAAGATCCTCTACGTGCGCAACCTCATGATCGAGACCACCGAGGACACCATCAAGAAGAGCTTCGGCCAGTTCAACCCCGGCTGCGTGGAGCGCGTCAAGAAGATCCGCGACTACGCCTTCGTGCACTTCGCCAGCCGCGAGGACGCCGTGCAGGCCATGAACAACCTCAACGGCACGGAGCTGGAGGGCTCGTGCCTGGAGGTCACGCTGGCCAAGCCGGTGGACAAGGAGCAGTACTCCCGCTACCAGAAGGCGGCCAAGGGCGGCGGCGTGGCCGAGGCTGCTGTGCAGCCGCCCAGCTACGTGTACTCGTGCGACCCCTACACGCTCGCCTACTACGGCTACCCTTACAACGCGCTCATCGGACCCAACAGGGACTACTTCGTGAAAGGTTAGTGGAGCTCCTGTTCGGGGTAGCATAGCCCCGCCTGCCTACTTGCTTGGCAGGATGCATCGGGGTGCAGTGGCTGGGGGTAATGAGCTGGTGGACGTTAAGCCCTCTGCATTTGGGGTTGGGGTCTGGGTTCTCTTTGCTGGCTCTTAGGACCATCACGCCTGTAGCTCTGTAGAGTGAAATACAGATCACAGTGAAGGGAGAGGTAAATCAAGGGGCTCAGTTTCTCCCTACTAAAGCCTAAGCCACTGGGGCAGGTTCACCCATCTCATGGAACTTAGGTTAAAACTATTCTACAATTCAGCCTTGAAGATGTTGGTCCAGAGCTGTGTCGTTGTTATGGGCAGTGATTACGGTGTGATGAAAGCATGCATCACCCTGAAAGACACAACCTGGACTCTGGAGCTTGCTCTCCTAATCGCTGGGTCTGTGACTTTAGTCCGTAGGCCTGTTTCCTCAAGCGTAACACGAGGAGGGTGGACTAGGAGATCCCTTTCCAGGTCTAACTGTTCTACACTCTGAATAGTTTTCTTTACTGAAGTTGCCATTACAATCCTAGGAGGCCACCTCGAAAGTTGGTCTCCTGTGCTAAGCAGACAGACGCAGGGCGTTCATCTAGGCTGAAATAGAACATTTGGAAGGCACTTTACGAACCCATTGAAAGCCAAGAGTGTGGGCATTTGCTGCTGGGACACAGGGCACACTGAGTACCCAGAGGCTCCTGCCTGTCTGCCGCTTACTCACCCTTCTGTGTTGTTACCAGCAGGCAGCATACGAGGCCGGGGGCGAGGCGCAGCTGGCAACAGAGCCCCAGGGCCCAGGGGCTCCTACCTTGGGGGATATTCTGCCGGCCGTGGTATCTATAGCCGGTATCACGAAGGGAAAGGCAAGCAGCAAGAAAAAGGATATGAACTTGTGCCAAATTTGGAAATCTCTGCCGTCAATCCAGTTGCCATTAAACCTGGTACAGGTCAGTATCAACTGGAACAAGATCATGTTTTGTGCAAACTCCAGCCCTTCTGCACAGGGATTCTCTCTTCTCATTGGCAGCCAGGGAAGAGGAAAAAAGAAGCTGGCTTGTATGTTCTGTTAGCTAACCCTGCCTTGTCCTTACTCTGGCCTATTTCTATCCCAACCACCAGACCATTTAATTTCTTTTCACTTTTATTTTCATTTTAGTGATACTAAAGCTTGAACCCAAGCCTTGGTGTATGCTAAGTTGCCCAGCTGAAACTTGTGATCCTCCTGTCTTAGCCTCCCAGAGTGCTGGGATTACAATGTGCTCCAAAACACTCAACATCCTTACCAATTCTGACAGTTGAGAGGGATGGAAATTCTCCTCCAAGAGGAAATAGCACCATTTACCCCTTGTTGTGATCTGAGCAAATAAGAACTCTTGGGGACAGGGCAGTAGTGAAAGTTTTTGCAGCTGCTGATTTCCTGGATTCTGATTTCTGGTGCTCATTTCCTCTTGCTAGATCAGTAGATCTAGAATAGTGGCGTCAATTGATCCAGGGACCTTGAACTTTGCTTTCACCTTCAGGGCCCACAAACCTGTTTGCCAAGGTTGTTAGCACCCTTGGTTACCTTATATGAGGCAGGACTTGTGGTTCTGCCAGAAACTTTAACCCTTTTCTATGAGTCCAGCAGCTACTGGCTTTCAGCTCATACCACACAAGCCCCAAAACATGGAAACTTTAGTCCTGAGCAGTCCCCAGCTGGGCCGTTCCCTTCCTCACAGAGGGGAGGTGAAGACCAAGCTACTCTGATTTTGCCACATTGAGGACCAACACTTATTTCTCAGCATCAGGGAAGCTGTGATGGGGAGTAAGTTTGCGTGGAAATCACAAAGCTACAAGGCATGCTCCTGGTGCAGCCTCCACTGAAGGAATCAGCGATGATTTTTTGTTCTGTGAAAAAATATCCTGCTGTCTCTGCACTTCAATGTCTCCTTGCACTGAATTTCCTTATAAATGTCACTGCCGTTCCAAGCAGTGTAAACTGGCTGGTCTACTCTCAAACAGAACCTGGATACGTACTGCAGTTTTCACACGTTGTGGAACAGACTTCTGTTGAAGTAGCTTAAGATTTAACCAGAAGAAAGCATTGTTTAAAAAACAAAAAGACAAAAAAAAAAAAAAAAAAAAAAGATGGGGCTGGGGATATAGCTCATCAGCACTGCACCTGTCTGGCAAGCACAAGGTCCTGAGTTCAATTTCTGGTACGAAAAGAAAAAAAAAAAAAAAAAAAAAAAAAAAAAAAAATATATATATATATATATATATATATATATATATATCCATGTTTAAAAAAAAAAACCTTTAGTCGTGTGAGGACCGTGGTACAGATTCCTCTGGGCTGGTGACCAAAGCAGTTCAGACAACTCCATGTGACTTAAACTCACAGCTTTCCCTGCCCTCTTATTTCTGATCATCCAGGATATTAGACCTTGTGTTAGGAGAGGCACCCAGGTAGTGGTGAAATACCTTGGGCAGAGGATCCATGGGAGATATGGTTGGAAAGGCAGGTAAAAATATTTGGTTAAGGTTTTAGAAATTTTTTATTGAATGGCTGTACCATTGTTTAGCTTACAGTCATTTGTCTCTTTACCTTTGATCAAGTAAGTCTTTATTAAAACACATGTACCTAGAGTTAGAGAAGAAACATAGATGAAAGGATGGTTTGTATATACATTTCATATCCAGAGATTGAGCTCACAACCTCGCGCTTGTCAGACAGGCACTTGCACCACTGAGCAAAATCCCTGGCCCACATTTCATATTCTTATGCTTTCAACACACAAGGACATGGGGACACACACACACACACACACACACACACACACACACACACACCCTCCCATGACTCAGGACCAGTGTCATTTCCTTTTGCCTGCTCTTTGTTGTACATTGACCTTAATAATTGCTAGCTACTTGAATTTATGCTTGAAATCAGTCCTTTGGACTTCACTCATAGAAATTATTTGGATTGGCTGGTCCCTCTTGAGGGGCGGGGAACCAGCCATTCCACTACTTTGGTACTGTTAATGGATATAAGAAAATTAGAGAGTTTTCCACTTCTTTCCACTTAGGGGTTCCCCGCCCTTTAATTAGTCACATTGAAATCTGGAATAGAGTGCAGGAAAGACGTACACAGATCTGAGTTCTCAGGGTGAAATTCTCACTACCACCTGCTTCTTAAAAATGGTAAAATTGAAGACAGTGACCCATCTGGTGCCAGGTGAGAGAGTGAGAATGGATCAGCAGACTTACTCTCGGGCTTGTTGGACCTCGATCTTATTCTGAGCCCATCTTCCCAGGTCAGAGGCCTTTCTGGCCCCATTGGGCATCAAGGTAAGATTCAAAGGGAGATTTTTTTTTTTTGGTAGAAAGGTTAGGAGATGTTTGTGCTGAAACTTAGTTCTAGATTCTTCTTCTGCGGTGCTGTACTGGGAGACTCTATGCCCCTGTGGCTCCAGGGGACGTCACATGCTGTCTCCTGTCCCTTCCTTGTAGGCCGCCCTCGTTCTTATCCTGAGAGAGCATTAGTTAGCACGGAGAGAACCCTGGCAGCTCACCTGGGGTTTGCGAAATATCACAGTGAGTGTAGCAGCCTCCTTCCTGACTGAAGTGATGGATTGTTTTCCTCTTGCTTCTTTGCAGTGGCCATCCCTGCCATTGGGCCCCAGTATTCCGTGTTCCAGGCAGCCCCGGCCCCTAAAATGATTGAAGATGGCAAAATTCACACCATGGAGCACATGATCAGCCCCATGGCTGTGCAGCCAGACCCGGCCAGCGCTGCTGCTGCTGCTGCGGCCGCCGCTGCTGCGATCATCCCTGCCGTCTCCACGCCACCGCCTTTCCAGGTAGAGTGCTCGCCGCAATGGCTGACGTCTGTGCATGGAGTCTCTCCATTGTGAACTTGCTTAGTGTCCAGTGCTGTGAATTTCTTCATGCTTGCCTCTCTTAGAACTGCAAGATTGGCTGACATTTTTATTAAAAAGTTGTTTTTGCATGGCTGGGGGTGGAACCCAGGGCCTCATGCTTGCTAGGCAAATGCCCCAGCACTAAGCTATACCTCTATCCCTTAAAGTTTAATATGAACCATAATGGGAAAGAAACTTTTAATAAGAATTGTACTACTCCAAAAGTATCATTGTGTCGAAGATGGGAAGTGATATACAAATGTGACGTGATTTTACGTGGCACAGTACTGTATTTTGAAGTGTCACTGAAAATACTCCGCTCCTGTTTAGAAGGAGCTGATGCACAGAGTTCAGGGAGGTAGTTCATATTTTCATAATCCTACTCATAGCGCAAGGAGATTTTTTGCTGTATTTTGTCTTTTGGGGACAGGATTTCACTATTCAGTTCAGGCTGGTCTTGAACTCACTTTATAGCCCTGGAGGGTGGGGCTTGAACTCATAACCATCCTCCTGCCTCAGCTTCCTGAGTGCCAGGATTATAGGCATACACCACCACACTCAGCTTCAAGGTTTTTAAAAAATGTTTACCGTATGTATGTGTGTGTGTGCGATATGTATTGTGTGTATATGTACGTGAAAAGACAGTAACTATGCAGGCACAGATATTCTTACAAAATCTGCCTTTATTCTGCTCTTCCAGTCCTGTCGCCCCCTTCCCTTTTCTCCAATCTGTTCTTGCCATTTGCCCTGCTTCTCCACTTTGCCAGCATGTCCTCTCATGTGTGGCTTCTTCACATTTTGCCTGTGAGAGCTCTCTCGCCATCCATCCTAGAGAAGTCCGCCTTCTGTGCTTCTCACTGCTGTGTTATTTCTTGGACGCGGCTGCCAGTAGATTCAGCGTTAGGATGAAGCTGCCCCACACCAAAGGCTTCTTTGTGCCTTCAGTGCATAGCAGACAGAAAGTGCATCTGTGCCACAGAAATGCTCTTCTCTCCGAGGCAGTGAATCACAGCTACATCGCCACCACACACAGATACTCAGGCCCAGGATCTCTCATCTCCTGAATGAGAATTACTCAGGTTCCTAGGCTCAAAGCCCTGAAAGTTCCAGTTCGACTGAACTCGACTGGGTTCTGGAATCGCTCTCATGTGCCAGTGCCTTGATGATTCCAAACCAGAGCCAGGCTGGTGAGCACCCAATAGGACCCTATTCCCTTGCTTTTGCCTACTTTGAACCCAGTCTTGACAGTTATTCAGCAAGGGTTAAGTCAAAGGACTTATCTGTATGTCACTGAATATTCTTTAACACATGATCCCTTAATACAAAAACAGAAATAGCTTGTGAGTCACATTGTACAATGACAGCTAAATTTAGTTATTACTTGGGGACTGATTATAAAAGTCCATAATAACTTAAAAGTAAACTTTAGTACATTTCAGGTAGTTTCTCTTTTTAATACTTTAATTGACACAAAAATCATCCATCTGTATGGAGTACACTTTGGTATTTTAATGCATGTATATAATGTGTAATGATCAGATGAGGTAATTGTCATATTGATCACATTAAACATTTGCTATTTCTTTGTTGTGAGAGCATTCAGCATCCTCTCTACTAGGTACTGAGAGATTAATAATCATGTTAACTGTAGTTACCCTGCTGTGCTACAGAACATGCGAAGTTACTCCTTCCATCCAACTGCATGCAGTGATAATTTCTTCATTCTTTTCTACTTAGAAATTTGTGAACTTTCAGTTCTAGTAAGGTCCAAATTCCAGGCCTCTAATCACACCGGGTTTCACACCCTCCCTGTCTCTCTCCTGTCTGCACTGAATGTTGCCATCAGAGCTCTGATGGCTTCCAGAACCTCCCTGTATCTCATCATCCTCCCTGCTCGGGTTTACCATTTTATATCCAAGACTTCATGTAGGTTTGGAAAGCAATGAAGGAAAATTTGCCGGTGTCAGCCTACACTTTCAGACTGATCTCTTGGAGCTTTCTCATTCTCAACAGCAAATCTGTGGTCCAGGTACAACACAGATCAGCATTGCTCTTTGACAGCAGGGAAACTGCAGTCCTTTCTCTCCCTGCCTCCACCCCTCAACGTCCCTTTCCCCACTCACCTCTAACCGTGTTATTGCAGAAGGTCACAAGCCTGGGCTGCAGCACTGGTCCCCTCATTTGTTAGGGGCGTTAATCCTGCCTGGGAATATACCTTGTGACAAAGGTGGGTTACTCTTGCTAGTGTAAAAGGGTTCTTAGCAAAATTAGAGGGCAGAGAGTGAGAGCCAAAACAGATTACATGAAACAAAATGTGGGAGGAGAGTGATTGGTATGGGGCTGTTAGTAATATTCTTTATAAGCCTCAGTGCACACAATAATCTGGGCTAGAAGGAGGAAGTGAAATTCACAGACCAGCTCCAATCTCATTTAATCCATGGTTTCAATTTCCTCCACTAGTTTGGAAGCTGTTTTTTGTTTTTTTCCGGTGGTGTTGCTTTGTGACAGGATCTTGCTGTGTAGCTCAGGCTGTCCTTGAGCTTGGGGGAATTGAATCCAGGGCCTTCCCACTGAGCCACTTCCCCAGCCCCCCTCCCCTTTTTTATTTTGAGACAGTCTCACTAAATTATTGAATTGCTCAGACTTGGTTAGAACTTGTGATCCTCCTGCCTCAGTCTCCCCAAGTACTGGGATGATAAGCATGTGTCATCACACCTGCTGTGATCTTCCTATGTCAACCTTCAGAGTGCTGGGATTGCAGGTGTTCATCACCTGGCATTTGGCTTACAAGCAGTTGTTAAAGATGTCACATGGATTTTTTTAAAGGTATTTATCTTTGCCTGATTAGCCCTTGAGGTCTTTGTTTTCCCTTAGGTCATCACAAATTAGCAATGCATCATTTAGAACAGGTTTGCTTTTATTCAACTATTAGTAAAAGTAGGTGATTGCCCCTGGTAGTATGTTGGGAACAGTTTTAGAAGTGTGCCTTAATTAAGGTGTTTTGACCTCTAAGGTCATGTGTCCAGATTAGGCCAAATATTTGGGACACCCAGAATGCTTAGCTCCTCTCTGGTCTGTCCTCCACCTGCCCTGGGTGTATGTATGCAGACTGAGGCCACTTGGAGTCTCCGATCCCCTGCTCATCTTTGTGTATTTGCTGTTGAGCCCTCAGGAGCTCTCTTCTAGTTCCCAAGCGAAGCTCCCTGGTAATGAGGTAAGCAGTGAGACTCTCTTGTCTTGCACAGCCTCACAGGAGGCGGAATGAGGTGAGGCCATACATTGCTTAACGAGCACATCAGTTTGTGCAAGCCCCATAACACACCCGCCCCTCCCCACGTAATCAAGTCCCTGACTTCACCAGGCTCATGACGAGCCAGTGTGCTATTGGCATCCAATTGAGGTGCTAAAACAGGCCTGGCAGACAAGAGTCTCCTGATTCATGCTGTTAGGATTAGCATTAGTATAGTTATTGTTACGACTACAGTTGAAAAAATATTCATAAGTTAGAAGTTCCATTGAATGTAATTTTGCAAGTCTGGCTTGCAGACTTGGTAAGTGAAATAACTTTTAATTCCTTTATGAGGATCCAGGAAGCATCAGCATCTTAAATTTAATTTTCCTTTTCATATATCATAAAGTATGTCTTTTGAAGATATAATAAAGCATGAAGAGACCAAACCAGCACTTAATTCAGGGTATTCTATAGAATATCAGATATACCAAATATCTTGTTGAATGTATATTTTATTTTACCAAAATCTCCCTTTTGGTGATGTGGCTCCCAGAAACTAGTCTATGGAAAACTCTTTGTGAACTGCTGAACCTCAGAGTCTCTGCCTCCGACTCGTTTGTCCTGAAAACATAGTATAGGTTCCACTCTTCAGACACACAGAAGGACACAGGGGGACCAGACAGGCCGTGGGGGCATCTCCATCAAGAAATCTTCACTTAAGATAACTTCCACTTCCTCCTCACTTGGAAACCCCTCTTATCCGTCAAAACTCAGCTCTGATGTTCCCAGTTTCTCCAGTTCCCACGTTAGTTGATTCCTTCTCTAATCCTCTGTACCACACTGTGCGTATAGTAGTGTTTATCTGAGATGGGAAACGATGCAAACCAGCAATCACATTGGCTGGAAACTGTGGGTGGTCACAAATTTAAAATCACAGCTTAAGAAGCTGTCCCTCTGCAGACCAGTCCCACTGAGCAGGGATGATCTCCCCTAGAAACAGATAGTGTTCTATCAGCTAAGTAAGAGTTGAAGCCGCTGACATGTTTGTGGGGCTGCATTTTAGGGAAAATGCTTCGTTTGAGTTCCCATGTGAAGGAAGAGACTCAGCTTCCTTGACCAGCTCATTCTGGAGTGGAGCATAGGCTGATTGAGTGGAATGCTGGGTGGAAGATGCCCAAGCAGCCCACCTTTGCCTCTGTCACTTCCCCTGGGGCCCGTAGTTGAACTTGCCTTCCCTCTTCAGTGGCTCTTTCTTATCCCTCTAGCCTGTCTGTCTGCCTCCTTTTCCTGAGACTGGAGAGAGTTGTTTGATGAATGAATGGGCGATAGGTATACATACATGGCTCAGGAAGGACTCTCCTTATCTCCCCTCCTCAGGGTCGCCCAATAACTCCAGTGTACACGGTGGCTCCAAACGTGCAGAGAATTCACACTGCCAGCATCTACGGGGCCAGTTACGTCCCTTTTGCTGCTCCGGCCACAGCCACGATCGCCACACTACAGAAGAACGCAGCTGCCGCGGCAGCTGTCTATGGAGGATACGCTGCAGGCTACATACCTCAGGCCTTCCCAGCTGCTGCTATTCAGGTCCCCATCCACGACGTCTACCAGACATACTGAGACTGGCGACGGGAGGAAGACAAGCCCAAAGACACCACTGAAGGAACGCTTTACTATTTATGAAGACAGAACACATTGCATCAGCGCACATCTGAAACCAGAAAGTGAAGAATGCTATCAAGTACCACATGGAAATCTTTTATATACATGAAGTTTTTCACTAGTTTTTTAAAGACTGTTTTCCACCTCAGAGGCCTGTGTTCATACATTTCTATAAGACTTACAACGGTCCGTGCCTTAATACCATCTTTTGAAAAATCTGTATGCTATACCACATTTGTATAGAGGTTTTGGTTTTTTGTTTGTTTTTTAAGGATATATTTTCAGTATGAAGGTTATTTTCTTAACTTCTGCACTCCAGATATTTCTATTTTGTAGTATCTTCAATAATATATCAGCTATATATATATATATATATGTATTAAAGCACAGGTGAGCAGCTAGGGAACTATTTTGAAAAATATATTCAATATTTAAAGATACAAACCATAGTGCTTTAAAATACTACATAAGATGTTATTCTAAAGATGATACTGGAAAGTGCAATTTTGAAATGAGTAAAAACCTCTGCTGTATTTTCACCAGCATTAAGGGTTGACGGTGTTACTATCAGTTAAACACTCGACCTCTCCTTAAGCCAACATGGGAAGGACTCATCACAACCTGTGTGCAAACACTGGAAAGCCCTCACCTGTCCCCATTTCCTTGGGGTCCTGTACCTTCATTATTAGCTGTGCCCATCCCCCCTTTTCCCTCACCTCTGTCCCACCGCTACCCAACTTCCAAGTTTGGCAAGTCTGGGACAATGAAGAACTCTGATAGAGAAAACAACTGGTGGCTTTTATTATACTTCTTCCTGGGTTTTTGTTGGAGTTTTTTGTTTTGTTGTATTTTTTGTTGTTGTTATTGCTGTGGTTGGGGAGGAATTCTCTTCTATGTGTGGCTATTTTCAATAGCAGAGTATGTTTAAGCACAAGGTTTTTGTTATGTTTGCATAAGACATCTTTGTGTAGCTATTTAATTGTCCAATATAAAATTTTAATTCCCTTTCTAGTGCTTTTATTTTACTTGTTTTTGAAGTATGACTTTTAGAGACAAAGAATGTATGTCATTGTAGACAAGACCCGAAAGACTTGTCAGCAGAAAGTTAGGCTTCTGGTTGCCTTACCGTATTTCATGGAAAACGTGTGCAGGCATCGAGGGCGCTAGCAGCCTTGTGTCTATCAGGCATTACGTCTGTGCTCGCGCTGAGCACTTGCAGGTAAACCTCGCTGGTGCAATTCCGGGAGGAGGAAAGGACCTGAAAAAGTTAAAGAGAGTCTGTAAATATAATGCTTACTTCTTCTCCTTTTATGTTGCAGAAGTTCCAGGTTATGTAGTTTAATACAAAGTGAAACCATTTTATTTCAATGCTGTTAGAAGGGTTTGCTCTATTAGGAAGTGAGTATGTTGTTGCAGTGTTTTGTGCCTGTTTAAAGGCTTTTGCTTAGCAGCATGAATGTAAAATACAGTAACATGTTCAGATCATCATCTATTTTATGAAATACATCAACTTGGATTTTTTAAAAGGCTCTATCAAGGAAATGAGGTGTGCAATAGCTAGTAAATACACAGTTGTATGTTTATATCATGAAAGAGGTCCATCACATCTTTCCACTCATTGGAGTTTTGTTGATGGCTGAATTTTTATTTGTGAATTAATAGGATCGTGCCCTTAGCAAATACTTTTAGGTTTTTTTTTTTTTTTTGATTAAGAGATCCCCAAATGCCTCCCCCCTCAGCTTGATGAGTTTTTATATGTAAGGAATATTTATTTAACTATTCTATAAAATTATTGAGTGCCTGCCGAGGCCTTTAAACATTCCTGACATTCCTTCCCATTAAATGACAGAAAGTAACTGTGCAATGTTCCTGGTGAGGTACCCAGCAGGCTGCATCCAAACTCAAATCTGTTGGAATGGGTATTCCAACAAAATGCAATGTGGATCGGATCCTCATCCCTTGACTCGTGTGAAAGAAGTACTCTCCTTCCAGGGAAGGATTGTCCCAGAGGTTCACTGGATGAAACTCTGACCCAGCGTTCTTACTGTATTTTACATGTGCCTGTAAGTTATTTGCAAAAAAAAAGAAAAAAGAAAGAAAGGCAAAAAAAGGAAAAAAAAAAAAAAAAAGATGTCTTAACATGGCCACTACCAAACTACCTTAAAAACAAATGTTGGTGATGGCCATTTAAGTATCACTGAGCCTCCTGTCTGTTCTCTTCTGTTATCTGTTGTTTCAAAACCATTTCATAGTACACTACTGGGGTAAGTTTATAACTTGAAATGTGAACTTTTTTTTTAGGGTTAAGAACAAACTATATAAATGTTTTTTTTTTAAATGTTGTAGAGTTCTGTTTCCACACATGCTAGTAGTTTAGTTGATTTTAGCTGCTTTGTATTTGAAAGGCTATTTAGATCCTGCTCCATTTACGTTCTTAGGATGTATGTAGCAAATAAAGCTTTCTTTAAAGCAATTTCAAGCCTTTATTTTAAATAGTCTGGGGTATTTTTTTGTTTTTGTTTTTTAGTACTGATTTTCTTTCCCCCCCAAATCTCAAAACACCCTCACAGGCATAGAAGGGATGAAGCAATTCAGTATTTTCTATTAGAGAAACAGGCAAGTTACTGTCCTGTCTTTACCTTGGAGTTGCTATGGAGGATGGTGACAGGGTTGAATTACAAGTCATTAGTGCCCTCCAACTTTGACTCCGGTGGCATCAGGTTGAGCACTCAAATACTACATTTGGATTGGCACAGGCTGTGGCAAAGCTTGTCACTGCCCTCAGTGCTTTAGTCTCAGAACTCCAGATGGAAGAGCTTGAAGTGACTTTGAGTTCTTTGGAGAACTCATGAAAGTACTGGGGTGACCTTTAAGTTGGTCACCACATCAGAAACCAAAGCCTTCTTGGATCTTTGTTTCCCAGGGTGCCATGGGGTTAATGCAACACTTCCTTCTCCTTTCTCTAGAGGTCATCACTAATGTGAGACAGTACCTATCCGCACAGCCAAGCAAGAGACTGGAAAGCAAGCAACTGTCAGTAGAATTATTATGCTTCTCATAATTGCTCTATGTGGCTGTGCTGAACAAGAATTTTACCTTAACTTTGAACACTGTGCCATGGCCTCCCGGCCTGTATTTCCTGGAATCCTAACTTCCTGCTTCCTCTTAAACATACAAAGGCCTTTTTAGAATAGGCCTGGAAACTTTCCAAGAGGCAGATCATTAGGCAGTATTTTTAAGGGCAACAAGATATGCTGATTCTTTCTTGTGCTAAGAGAAAAGTACAGGCATCCTTTAGAAGTCTCAAGTTAAATTGGCCTCCTTAGAAAAGGCATTACTAATTATACAAAGTAGGTATTACACCTCTACCAGGTGCCAGGTTCTGTTCTAGGAACCAAGTTTTGGTCTCGCGCTCATGGAGGGAAGATCTAGTGGGAGGAAATTAGTAGTCTGCCATTAAAGGACAAGTACTGTGTGTGTGTGTGTGTGTGTGTGTGTGTGTGTAATGAACTAGACTCTGGCTGCATCATTTCAGGAGCAGGTGGCTCTGACCAGCCAAGGTCACACAGCTGGTAGGAATCAGGACTCCAATCTGTACTGAAGACTCCAGGCACTGCATTCCAGTGGCCGACCCTGACAATGGGAAAGCCTAGGCTTTAAGAAAAGATAAACTTATCTACAAGTACAGTTTCTTTTCTGCAAGCTTTTAGTGTGGTTCTACACACAGCTTGAGGAATGGCACTAGGGAGAGAGAAGCTGAATGTGTACACTCAGCCTGCACTTCATGAAGTGGAGTCAGGCTTGCAAAGATGTGTGTGCTGGGAGGTTTAAGGAATCTGGCTACAAGGCCATCCTGAAGGCTACAGAAGACACTCACCGGCCGGCCTGGGACATCAACTGAACCCTTCTGGATTGCTTGGCTTGGTCCTAGGGATCTGATCCAGAGTCTCACACATGCTAAGCTCCCAGTGAGCCACACCTCCAGCCCTCTCCCACACCCTGCTAACTCTTAAGTAGCTGCTGCATTTTTTAAATTCCAGAATAATCTATCATGGCAATATCCACAAGCACTTATTTAGCAGAAGGGACAAGTAGCACAGTCTGACTTTTTTTATGTATTACTTTAATAATTCCATATCTATTATAAAATCTTCTGGGTACTCAACTGCTCAGAGTTGTTATATTCTTAATCATGCGGAGTGTGTCATTTTGCCATGCGTCAATGAAATGACACTTTGACGTGACCCTTAAAAAAATTAAATTTTCCACTTGTAAAGAATAGTTTAGTAGAATGACACAGATGGACTCACTTTGTCCTTGTCCTGCTTCTTTCTTGGCTCCATGCCTATTTCTAACTCCTCAGGGTCAAAAATAAGGTTAAGTTTAAAGATAGGCGAAGACTCAGGCCATCCACAGAATATTTCGCTTTGACTCCAAGGTCTGAGCACCCAAACTAGATACGTCCCATTCTCCTTTTTCCTCCCTCACTAGTCTTCACTTTCTAGGTACCCAGAGTTGCTCTGATTTTAATGCTGCATGCCAAAAACCTGGAGAAATGTGATTATCCAGATTCCTTCCTCCATGTGCAAGCACTGTGGCCTAAGACCCAGGCTGGCCCTGCAGTCAGAAGCTGGGCAGCGGGTGAGCAGGCTTTGCTGCTTAGCAGTTATGCAGCCTAGGAAGACACCTCACCTCTTATTTCTTAACTGGTTAGAGATAAGAATGTTGATTATTGTAAAAGTCAGATGCATTCATGAATCCTAAAAAGCTTGATATGTCGTAGGCACTTTTCTAAAAGGCTACATCCTTTCCCTGCCCCTCTTTGAACTATCATAGTAATTCCAGAAAGCTTTAAAACTTTAAGCCTCTTGCAGAAACTGGAACCCAGGAGCCTTACATATGCTAAACAAATGCTCTACCACTGAGCCACACATCCTGCCCAGGCCTTAGCATCCCTGTATTCTCCCATCCATTCAAAACATTTGTTGAGTGTCAACTCTGTGCTAGTAGTGAAAAGGCGGCAGACAGCCTATCCTGGCCTGGGCAGAGGGGCAGGAAACTCCAAGGGAAAGTGGATCTGCAGGGCAACCCAGGAGCATGGAGGAAAGGGGACAAGAATGGCCAGGACCCAGATGAAAATGACATGGTGTCCTCAAGCCCCTGACAAGAGTTCAGTGGGGCTGCCCCGAGGAGGAGGAGGAGAACGAAAAAAAAAAGAGACCCAACCTCTGTTCAGCCAACAGCCAGCACCGTTAACAGCCCCGCACCCACTGTGGACAGAAGCACTCTACTCACTAGAACAAAGAGGCTAGAAGCCAAACTGGGCATCGGTCATTTCTCCTTAGGACTTGAGTTTTAGGGGGAGGCAGAGCCCCCTCCCTCTTTGGTTGTGGCCTCTGGGGTTTTCTACCCCTTCCTCTTAGGGGTCTCCAGCAGCTGTATGTACCTACTGGGACCTCCCCTGTCCCTAGGTAAACACCACCACCACGGGACAGGAATGCAAACTTCTCATAAAGGTAGTAGAAGCTGTGACCCCACAAAGGGCAAAGGATGGGGGGGGGGGACCAGGAAGAATCTCCGGAGGGACCTTGGCTCCCCCAGTGGAATATTTCCTTGCCGATCTATTCTGCACAATTATACCCACAACCATAACATCAAATCCTACTTTTATAATAAATATGACCTTTCCCGGGCTAATTTTTAGCCACCCTTAATTCTTGGCTTTCTCTACTTTGTTTGTCAAAAATCTTCATTAATGATTAACCAACCACGAGGTTTCAAGAGGCCTTAGTCATTCTGAGGCAGGTAAGTCCTGTTACCAAAGCCTAATTGTTCCCAAAATGACCTTGCTGGGGTGCTGGGTCAAGACATTTTGAACTATGGTATTATGATATGACAGGTCATGCCAGTTCAGTTTGGCTGGAATTTTCCCTCTCCTTTTTCAGGGCTATATTCCAAGCAGTGGTGGTACACAGGACAATATCATTCCATAGACCTCAATACCCTCCCCTCTCTTCCAATTCAAATACGGTCATCTGACACTTCGCCAATCTTATATAAAGTGCTATGAGGTTTCAGCCCCTAATCTCCCTCTTCCAAATGAAACGCTCCTGTAAAAGGAGAAATTTGGAAATGAAATGGATTCTAAATGTGCTCTAATCCTTACAAGGGAATTATTCTGAGCAGAAGAGACAAAATTAAAAATTTCCCAGCTCTTTAAGCAAAGTATTGAGTACACCAGCAAGACTACCCTCATTTCTTGATCTTGTTCCTCATTTCCTGTTTGGGAATCATATTAAAGTTTTCAGGAGGGATCACTCACAGAGGACAATAGTAAACAGCTGCCAATAAAATGCTATATGCCAAAGAGTGTTTTATATAAATGATCTCAAAACTTAAAAAAAAAAAAAAAAAAAAACAGTATAGATATGCAATAGTTGAGATATCATACACAGCTTGCTGAATTTTTTCCAGGGGAGCTGGTCCATGTGACCAAGGTGGGGGAAGGGTATCACCTGCCTTCCAGAAGCTTCTCTCCAGTCCTTTCCACTGACTAGCTGCCATCAAGAGAAATCCTGACTTCCACCAGTATAGTTAACTTCGCATGGATGAGTTTTCATAGTTGAAATAGCTACTATTTCCCCACTTCATCAACTAAAGTAACAACAGCAAGGAGCCAAAAAGAAGTTTAATAATTTACCCAGGACCACATAGCAGGAAATAAATGAAGGAGCGTGGATTTGAACCTGGATTATCTAACATCAGAACCAGAGAGTGGAAAGGGTAATTCACTCATTTGGTAAAGACTTAGAGTCATTTGTTTACTTTAGAAGTTTCACTGGACTTGTGACAGAGTCTCTTCGTCACAAAAGTCATTGGAGCAAGTGAAAAAGAAGGGTGACATCCCCAGCAAAATATGGGACACTAGACCTTTTGCAGTCTCCAGGGCATGGAGGATTATTTTTCTGAATTCTTTTTTCCTGATTTCTACTCTTGCGTACTCACATGCCTTTTATCAAACTTTGCTCTTAGGAAGGGAAAGAAAAAGCTAATTCTTACTAAGATGAGTTATATACTTTTCTCAGTAAGCACGAATCCTTTATCCAACAAGCCAAAGAATAAATCTCTAATTTTGAAATTTAAGGCTAGAGCCAGTCAAATAACGAGAATGACATCCTCGGTCAGTGGGTCAGTAGGTCCTTCCCCTGCCCATGACACTGGATCACAAAGTGCAGATAATGCAAGGAGTCCAGGCTAAGAATTTTGAGTTGACAGGGAGCCAAATGAGATTCTCTGGAGCGTTCATGCAACAATGTTAATGACCAGTGTTCCAAAAATGAGACACACTACAAAATGCCGGGGATATATGCCAACCAAGGAACTTCCTTTACTGTAAGACACTAATCACATGACCAGTTTCCCACTGAGTAGCCTGTCACCACACAGCAGCTTTCTGAAGCTTTGTCTCACATG